TATATATATATATATAGGCTATTAGGAAAACCACTAGGACTGCAGCGTGCTAAGAGTCATCTCGGCTAGCCGATTCAGTGAACAGAACTACGTAAGTACCAATTGCCAATATACCTCATACACCTTCATACAGCCTTTTTTTTTGGCTGACAGAATTAACAGAACACATTTGTATCAGAAAAAGTAGTAGACTATTTCTCGCGATTATTTCGTAGCGACAGGACCGGTGCGTCTGTCCGGATGTCACCCTCGATTACATCCAATTCCAAGTTGCTGAATCAGATTCAAGTTGGTGGAGGTATAACTACCTCGAAATTCGAAGGATTTACGAGGTCGGCTGAATGGGCACTACCATTTGTAGTGTTTGCAAGTTTCTCCAAAAGAACGGCATCACCTTGTACGCTGACAAGACATTGACCCTGGAAGTAATCGAGTTGTTTAACTTTTGAATTTTTCTATTTTTAAAATGCAGTTGACAGGATCATATGGAAATATGAAAGAAATATGGCGGAAATATGAAAGAGCGAGCAAAGGATAGACTCGTCGTCTGCATTTTGCGCATGACTTGTTGGAATTAGTAAAAGCCGCGCTTGACAATATAGACTCACCTCTTTGTTCGCGCAAGAATATAATAGATGACGTTTATTGGCCCAATAGAGACTATTCATTCTCATACTTAAACAACAAATTTGAACTACGTCTCATTTGTGGCGTCAGATCATCGAAAATTAAGCACGAATCTTTGAATCAGCCAGACTAAGCACAATGAAGAGGAAATGATAAAAAGCAAGCAAGGACCGTAAGCGTTTATACGTCCCTAACTTAATGCCCACCATAAGATATGCATGTATACCTGGTGCTTGTGCGCTCCATGCAATAGAAGTTGATGATCCATTCGGAAGGACAACAGAGCATCGCCTCCCAATGCTGCCACATGACAACGAGCTATGGCCAGCACTTCCTGGAGGAAAGTGGCCGCAAACGAGTTCAGGTTGGACATGTGCGTCAGATTGCTGGTCTCGCGTATCAGGAAGAAATTCACGTTGCCCAAAAATTCCGACACAGCCCGACCAGGAACTGACGACAGAGTTGAGATTTCGACACCATTAGCGCGTGTCTGGACACGACACAAATTGCCAGCCTTGGTACAATTCGTTAATGTGCCGCCTGATACCCTGCCGCCGTACATTACCGTACTGGAACGCACACGCGCACGCATGTTAGGGATCGTTGAAACGAAATATTTATCGGCTTTGGAACAAATGAGAATTTGTAAGTACCATTAGAACTATGCTCTCATCTGTAACGAAAAGGTACAAAGTGTAGCAATGGTGCACCTGTTCTGTGAAAACAAGCCAAATTTTGCATCCAAATACATAATATAGCAACAAATAAAGTCAACCTTCTACTGCTACTACTGCCGAATAAACTACACCCTATCATAGATCGGGGGTAAACGTAGCACGTTTCGTTTCGGGAACTCGGAAACGACAGTGCCAAAACTCCGAGCATATATCCATATTTGCTAAATACGCATTGCACATCAGAAAACACTTTAAGATCCAGCATCTTTCTATATTCTTTCTTCGCGTCCGCAAAGGTATTTACCCCATCATCGTAGCCTGCATCTCATCCGCCTGAGGGAATGCTACTCGAAAGTGCAATCCCAATACGCGACACGGGCGGAACTTCCGGAGTCTCACGAATAACGACTGCACCCCACGGTCCAGCAAGCGGCTCAGTTCCTGATGAACAAGTGGCAATTGAGGTGGGGGCGTGCTCGCACCCAAAGAGCCTCCAGAAGGAAAAAGCTGATGGAGACGAACCTGAGAATCGAATGAAGCTTGTCTTATTCACTACTGTTACCACGAATGGTTAGAATTATGAAATTATTTGATTACCGGAGACGTTTCTTTAGATTGCATTTCGTTGCTTTCTTAACAAGGCAATCGAAAGCTTGGGACTGATTGTTCAAGCAGCGGCTATTTTAACATTTAATATATTAAACGTTAAAACAACCGCTATCTATCTTAATATTTAATATATTAAATATTAAAACAGCTGCTTAATACAGTAAGTATTAACGTTTTAGATCATTTGTATGTCTGCATAACTGTTTAGTGTTATTTTCTATGGCCTGTTCCTATAGGGAATGTCTCGTTGAATCTTAAGATCCCTCTTTTTTAGATAAAAGCTTTAACCCAAAGCTCTACGTAGCTTTACGATATAAACTTTAAATAAAGTTCTTTGACGACTTTGAAGAATATCATAGATACATTATGCTGTGCGATGGCGATGGTCTAAAAATAACAGGAAGCTATTTACTGCTTACCCGAAACGTCTGCATAACCAGCTGTGTATGTGGGACGCTATCTCCATCACCGACGTCGTCCTGTCCTTCGGGTCCTGAAGGTCCAAGGCACGTTTCTGTCGAACTAAGCGTAAATCCTGGTGGGGGTGGCCGGGTGATACATACTTCGGCGTTCGCCGCCGTATCGTCCCCTTTCCCATTAGACTCGCGGTTCATGATGCACAAACGCTGTTTAAATGAAGATGAGAGCATATCATCATCTTCGCTCTCGGACAATGACCCAGAAAGACCGCTCTGACCCGCTTGCTGAGAATTGCTGCTGGGTCGTGGTAACGCAGCTAAAACGCATGCTGTGCCAGTCTGTAAGGATCCGAGGAGTTCAGACGAAATAAAGATTAAGTTTATTGTAATAATACGCAGGTATAAAAATCAACATGCAACCTAAACACTTGTTCGTAGTGAAGGTAAAAGTCCGCGTAATCTAATGAATGCATTGAAGTCGGCTCGCAATGTAACTGCGAAGAGTTGTCTTAAACAAATTAGTAGCTATATAGAGATATGAATGCTGGCAACGCTGATAAGCAGAAGACAACATGTTTAAAATCAGTGCTGATTTTGTAACAGTATAATTCTTTTGAAGTGATACTTACTGCAACTCCAGTAACGAAGTGCTCTCCAATGGCAACCTGGACATTTAGGCCTAACACAGCATTCAGACCTGTTTTCTTCATCTTAGCTAATAGTTGTTTGTGAAGCTCATACTCGAGAAATGGTAGATTATCACTGATTTCTCTTGCGCTGGCCTCGCCCCTGAGATCCTTTTTTGCTTCACACACACGCGCCTGAATGAGAACAGAGCCCGAGATTGGGCCCATCCCCGGTGACGGCTCAATTGTTGCAAACAAAACATCGGGTACCTTACCATCCTGGCAGTTTCCACAGTTGCTTAGCTGAGTTCTAAATGGGACCACAGACGCTCTATATGGGGCGTGACAGAGGCCACAGTTCGTGGACGATATGTTCGTTCGTCCTATTGTGGTACCTGGACCAGCCGAAGCCAAAAGCGCCGCTGTCCCGCTAGCAGACAACAAAAGCACATCTTCACAAATTGTCGTCGTTTCTTGATATCCTACGACAATATTGCATGCAAGCGATTTCGCGTGCGAGCGGATCTCTTTTCGGAGTTCCGTCCACCAAGAATCGCGTGTTTCAGCTTCAGATTCAAGAGAGTTGTCGAGCAGTTTTACAGAACGAGCTGATACCACTCCTCCGACGCTATCAATCAAGCCGGGCGGAAGGTGACGTATCGTTATGAATGGGTATTCAGCCATGTCCTCAACCATTGTTACCCCACCTGTAGTGCCCGCCCCTGCGGGTTGCGGTACCCCAAGAGGTGCTGCGGCATCATCCGTGTCTTCTTCGCTCTTCATCAGTTTGACCACGCTTCCAATGCCTCGAACAACGATACCGGTGTCGCCCTCGAGATCAAAGTACTGCTGATAGCCTAGAACGGCATTGCCACCCAGCTCCAGTGCTTTCAGGCCAACACGGCGTTGCAGTTGACCTTGAGCACAAGGAAACAACACGATCATATTTAGTTGGTGAATTTCATTATTTACCATTTCAACAATGCTGCCATAACGTAGTAAGCTGAAGCAAAAGCGTTATTATGAGTCGGGTCGTTTCAATTAGGTATCTTCTGAAATGTATGAAATGTAGCTACCTTATTAACATAGAACCAAAAGATGTTTGTCTATAAACATCGTGTACGTATACATTACAAGGTGCATTGTATACGCCTGCTCATTGAATTACGAACAAACTGCAACTCTGCAGATTTCCGGTTAAGTGTTGAGCGACTATTACTTTATTATTAGTATTACTATAACTACTGTTCACAACTACATTACCGTCTTACCCGCGAATCTTGCAAAAAGAGCCTGTCTTGCTTCATTAGAAGCTCTAGGTGTCCTAATTCGATCCATCCAGTGGAATTCAGGGTCATCACCCGCAATTAGTTCCTCGGTGAAGCCGAGGGCAGAAACGAGGTTGTAGCCGTCTGGAACCCGATTTGAGTAGAAAAGTTGCATGCCAACTGAGGACACGCGGTATTTATTGGCATCACAAAATAGGTCTACCTAAAATGAAAGAAATGGACGCTGTTTACGCAAATCACCCATATTTTTATTTAAGGAACGAAATCGTAGTAATGACCGAGTTGTCTAAAACATTTCTTACTCATGCCTTTTGAGAAGCCATAACTCGATCGCTTAATAAAACAGATACTCTAAATAAATAAGATAAAGTAGAACTTTTACTTTTTTTTAAATGTTTTACTTTTTTTAAAATATTTTACTTTTTTAAAAAATGTTTTAAGGAAACATTTTTTTACCTTAAGGAAATTAACAAATGTATTAGTTATTTTCATTTTTCGCCTATTAACATAAACCTGGGTCAATTTTAGTAATAAACAGTATAGCCTTCTTCAGTGACTAATGCCACCAACTCTGCAAGTAGAGAAGCGATGCTATGTTTTTGATAGCTTATTTTATAAGTTCGATGATTTTACTTCGAAATGAAATACCGTAAGTTTCTCAATAGCGCAATCACAAGCAACGCGTGGTTTCAGACGAATACCTTGACTGTGATGTTAATTTCTCCCCGAATTCCATGCAACGTATCGTATATGGGAAGCCAGCCCTGAAGACCGCTGCACGTTTCACGCAACAGAGGATTTAAATCAATGTAGACCTATGTACGAGGCAAGGCACAAAAGAAGCTCGTTTCTCTCGCAGATCTTTAGCAATATGGGATATTCTACTGTTTTATCAGTAATTGAATTTATACCTCTTATTATATATTGCAGACCTATTATTACTGTCTTATAAGCTAATAAAATATCGGTCGAAATCAGAGAGCGCATGAATCACGAATCACTGAAAGAATAACAGGACAATTTACCGATAAACTTCCTAACTTGTATCTTAACAGGACGGTTGAAGCGACTGAGCTGAGAAAAATCTAGACGAATCGAAATATCCGGGGTTTGCTCTAAAAGACTCAAGCTGATATTGCATATATATGCCAATACTATTCACATAGAAATAATCGATTTTGTATCTACACATGTGGTGATGAACCTTTCCAATCGCGTCGTTTGCTGAATACGTGTCATAGTCCATTACACGTAGTTGCAATCGCTCATCCTGAAGAGCTTCATCATCCATCTATAAGCAGCAATGGAACCACGTACAACCTTTAATATTTGTAAATATTGTACAAATTTCAGGACAACAGAATAGTTTAGCTTGCTCGCTCACGTGGCAATTGCCAGAATGAAGCCACCTATGCTAGAGAGCACATTTACTTGCTAGAACGTGCATATATATACATATATATATATAGCTCACTGAACCTTACCTCAAAACGGAACCACTCCGAATTCCATTGCGGATTTAAAGATTTTCGGTATATCTCCGTCTTATAGCATATTTGCGCCAGTCGAACCTAAAAAATGTGGATATAGTTTGAATTATTTTTACAAATATAGAAAAAACTTCTAGTTCTGGAGGGTCTCTGATAGCCTGAAACATTTTTTCATTAAGGATCTATGGACATGAAATACCAATACTATAGAGGGATTCAATATTAATTCATATAAACACAAAATATAGATATAGTTTGCACTTAATTTTCGTTTGTTTTTTTTCTTAGTCCTATGTAAGTTATACCTATAGATCTGCTTGGCTACGCAAAGGTATAGGCACAGTCAGATCTAGCTCCAATGTAATCAAAGGTATCATTATTACCGTTCTGAACGAAGAAACACTTGTGTCACTCTAAGAAGAGATATATGACTTTTAATTATACAGAATAGCGCAATACTAGGGTTATAGCGCAAAACGACTCGAAGTTCACAATTAGGAAAAATTAATCTTTTAATTCCGAAGAACGTCGCCTTACGGACGGAGCAGTATCCGTGTTCCCCAAGTGACAACCTATTATCTTTTTCTTTAAAAGCTTCTTTTGTCCTATCTGTATCTTCACGGCTTGCTTAATCGAATCTACCGTAAATAACATTTGTTGATTTATGTGCCTATTAACTTCCTGGTTCCGAATCTCGCATCTAAACAATGGCTTGCCAAGCCAATGAGACCCATACCATCTTGCCATTGATCACGCATTACGAAAATTAACAAGACATTACGACAAAGGTCAAGGCTACGCGAAACACCCAAGATAATATTTCAACTAAGCCATTCTGAAAAATTCAATCGGCATCCATTATTTAACCGCACAAGAACCCAGCTTTGGGTGGGCGGTTGCTAAAAATTCTTAATTAAACACTTAATCTAAATTGCGATTTTAATGCAAATACATAACTTTGTTTATTGATTTCGACCTAATGGATCGTTACAGGCCGTTAGCAACTGTATACCATAAATATAAAATCTACCAAATGGGCTGGCTCCTTCGTAAATCTGTGTTAGACCACGATGTAATCCACCGAATTTTATGTGGAGCTCGTTTTCGAATTTCGTAAAAGTTTCGGATTGTTCGAAAATATATATTCAGAATTAAAGGGGTTCACGTACCTCGGTAAACGCATCACAAGCCTCACTGGCTCGATCCATCACCGGTAGATTACGCGCAGCCAGCACTCGAACGCTCACTCGACCCGGCATTTTGCTTTTTCTTTAAATTAACAACCTCATAGGCCAAAACATAACCTACAGGAAAAAAGGGTCGCACAGTTCACTTCATTAGAATCGCATTTAATCGAGAGGAAAGCCACCCAGACCCGTCTTTGATAAGCGACGTCTACCACGGCCACACGTCATATCGGTGACGCTTGCCGCTTACTAGTGGATTATGTAACAGCTGGTTCTACATTAATACAGTGAAGCAGAGGACTCGCCACAACGATTCTATAAAATGTACCTACTCTAACAAAGTACTTCTGGCCGCGCACGACATTTGTACGAACTACGAGCTTCATCTTGTTATTGTTTTGATACCCACTGCGTTTCCACGAAGAGTCCTATATCGAATTGGTGGCGCGAAGACGATAAGGCTTCAGTCACAAAATATTTAAACTCCTTCAACGATCAATAAATAAAGTAATTATTTATTGCTGCTACTCCTCATTTTCGTATGTTTTCGTTTAGTTGCTTTTCTATTTCGCCACTCCATTGTTGATCTAGCCGAATTCAATACTCTAACAGGTAACACTGCTAACCACTGAAAGGAGCCATATTAAAATGTCGTGAGATCAGTAACAACAGGCTCGACAGCACGATATAACCTCGCTGCTACTCAATTTAATGAAATTTGAAGTCCCGAAAATCAATTGGAACAAAGTATGCGTAATTCTACGAAAGCATAAGGAGCACTGGCTCTGTTAGCCTTGTTATACTATATTAAGTAGCGTTTAAAGAATATCCGAGTATATTATTGTTGTAAAAATAGAAACATAATATGACATTTTTTTCGTCGATCAACAAGCCTTTGTGACTCTTACAGCCATCGAATGGATTGCATTAAATGTCTGATTTGATGTCATATCAGACACGCGCTTTCGTCTCCATCAAAAATCATCAGTCACCGCTGGTTGTACTGTCTTTGAATGAGTATGTAAACATGAGTGGAGACGAAACACTCGACACAGAGAAAAGACAACTTTCTAATCGAACAATAAAAAGGAGATCCTGATTCAGTCGACGGCCATAAACAGCCGCACCTCTGTTTAAGCTTACTTAACTTCGAAGTTGGTGTTGCGGTGAAAGTAAAAAATACACATATGTTAGATATGTGCTTCGGGGGCGTTCTATCGCGGTTACGGCAGCCATCACGAAGTACCTGTTGTCGAAGACAATAACGGCAGGACAAAGGTAGACGTTAAAGATTTTCCAGGCGAATTATTAATGGCGGATTTGTGACGTGTGGATGCGAGGAAGAGGAGTCCTGTTGATTTTTTTACAAATTGAACGTGTTCAGCTGTCTTCTGCAAAATTGCATTTTGCAGGGATAGGGAGGCAAGTAATGATTTTCTTCCGATAATATGAATTTCTATGCACGCATGAAATAAGCTGCTTGATTGTATACTTACCTCGTATTGTGATTTAAACTAACTTTTTGGTACAAGACGATACTCCTCGCCTAATTTTCCATAAACGTCATTGGAAGGCACCTGTCACGAGAGAAACTGCTTTTTCTAGATTGGGTTTTTTTTTTTTTAGATATCTATACTACTTTTTTCGTAAGGAAAGTGTATTGACTAATTGGTTCGTTAAACTCATGCTTTTAATTCTTATATAGAGAATGGAAAGAACACGATTAGCTGCGAGGAGAGCGGCAAGCCGTTTGCATATGCAGGTGGTCATCCAACAAGACCCAGCTTCAGGGGATCAAGATCCAAACGTTGTTCATGTTGTTATTGAGGATGGTGGGGCCTTAGACTGTGCTGCGGACGGACAAGAGATTCAAGTAGAGGCACAACACGATACTTCGCGGGCGAAGAGCAGTGACAATTCTGTAAGTGTCATGTAGCCGTATGTATGGTTCTAGGTCTTCAACTGTTTATTTGGAATTACTCGTATTGACTGGATTTAAGGTATTTTATATCTTATAAGTTAAAGCGAGCCAAGTATGTACAGGGTGGTACAAAACTCGACTGGCAGTGGAAAAAGATAATGTGCACTTCGGTCATTTTTCACAGTAAATCTACTTTCTCGCCATCCGCTACGATAAATTTATTTATACTCCGAAGGTTTTAGTGATTCTTTATGTTATAATATGGCCGAATAAACAACACAACGACTGATAACTGAAAAATTCGTCTTTGGAAGCTATGCTTTTACTGAAATTAAAAATAAAATCGACGCTGAGGATTCAGCTCGTGCATGCTAGCTAAACGCTGGCGAGTTTGATATATTTGTATCGGGTACAGAAATGTCACCAAACTTATAAGTTGCAGATCAAGAAAAATCTTACTTATGGATAAATAAGCGAAAATCAAAAACTTAAGTCTGCAGCGTAAATTGTCAATAAATGCCATACAAGCAAGAAGTTGACATGCAAACGACAAGAACTAGATTTAGTGCGCGTAGCGTTATTTGATGATGAATAGCAATGCTCAGTTTGAAGACTCTGTAGGCATGTTCATGTTTTCAGTCCGGTTCACTGCCAAGGTTCTCTAAAACCCGCTCCAAGTAACTAAACAACTTAACCTAGAATAGCAACTTAATAATAGATCTGTAGTTATGCAAATCGTATTGGTTTAAGCTATATACTAAAATTAACACTCGAAAAAAGGAACAGAGAACACCTGGTTTCTTTTGATGAATGATCCTATCCGCTTTCGCTTCCAGTTAGCCGCAGCGGCACGTCCGTATCCGTGTGCCTTCTGCGCGTCGAGATTCGCGTTGAAGTCTTCGTTACGGCGGCATGTTCGGTCACAACATGCAAACCACCCCGAACGGGAGGTAATGCTACGCAAAGCGTTTGAATGCCGTTTGTGCCATAGTGAGTTTACGACCAATTCCGATTTATGGTTTCATCGGCAGACGGTTCACGGTGCAGAAGGGCGCGTGTCGAACCTTACCAAAGGAACTGCGTCGGACACAACAGACGGCTCGCAAGGAGAGAGATGCACTGACGAAAAAGACGAAGAGAATGAAGTGGACGATCAGGGGTAAAAATGAAACCTAGTTACTTTTGTTAAGATTTCAATATCTGGGCTTTGGGCAAGATTATTCTACTCACATTAAAAAAAAAATAAGAGATTTCAAGTTTTACGTCTAGCTCCACCGCTGTGGAACACTACTTCGGGCGGCTGGTTTTTTCCAGAGTGGAACGAAGCGTGCCTACGCCTAATCTTCAACTTGGGCCACCTCACTGTTTTTTTTGAAAATTTATCTCACCTATGCAATTGAATCAAATTCCGTTTCATGTTCAATGTGCCGACGGTACCATAGAACCAGTGGTACGAGTTGTGAAAACCTATTTTCTATATCGAGCGTGCACCTGTAAAGTATTAAGTGAACCACTCTGTTCTTTCAAATAACAATGCTAACTACAGTCAGCTTTGCTACAGCTTCAGCTAGAACCATTTTTATTTTAAGTTAGAAAAGATTTTTATGAGAAGTTTCGACCAAATCAGATTTCTACTAAAGTCTCAGCTATAATTAGTTTGATGATAATACAGAGCACTGAATCATTTTATGTGCAGTGATTAGGAATATAACAATATTCATGCATTTTAGCATATCTTTTAAACAACTAGAAACAAGCGTGGCTATGCTTTGCTTCCCGTCGAAATTGTAGGGGCTTCACTTGTGTGTTATGCGCGTTCACATATCGGAAAGTTCAGGATCTGAAACGTCACATCCGGAGACGTCATCCCGAGGCTCTAATTAAAAATGGCTATGACGTTGGAGGTTAGTATTATAGCACCAAGTGGCACGAGCCTGACAGATATACGGCAAATCATATTTAAAGTTACTTTCGGAATCGAAAATATTATTCCTTCATTACCATCAAATGATTAAGTTTTCATTGATTAATTGGGCCAATTTTTGGTTCGGAACAATATTTTCTCATGCCTCTCTTGTAGGAATCTCATACGAAGCAAAACATAAATTCTGGTTCGTACAAAACGCTGTTATTACTGAAGTGCAATATACTGGTATTACCACCATTCAGAGACTTTAACGTTCAGATATTTAATGGCAGCTATTTACGAATAATGAGAAAACATTGTCTAATTCTCCGTGTAACGATTAGATACGCAGCCTCGTTGTCGCGTATTAATTGAGATATCTATGTTCACTCATCGGACTGGAGTACGCTTTATCCTTATCTTTTATCCTGATTTTATACAATCAGTACTTCATCTATTGTCAAACTATCTGTGAAGGGAATGCATTTATACAATAAAACCATATTTCATAATGTTCAAACTTTAACTATAAATATCGTTTTAAAAGGCCCATGTTCATTTGATGTTTTAAACAGCGTTAGCATCATCGCTTATCATGGACAACAGCGATCCTTTACACGGCTCCGAGCCCGTTCGGGTATGCTCGATAACTCCAGCTAATCTCCACGGTGACCTGGTGACTCGTGTTCCAGCAACCACACAACTAGCTGTTCGATGCGCTCGGAGTAACGGGAACACCCGAAGAGTTGTCGAAGAACTTCTTCAATTGGAGGCACCTCAAGAAGTAGAGGAAGTCGTACTCAACGCTTCGGAGCACTATGTCTGCTCGAATGAGTAGCGGATGCTAACAAGAGATGTCGGCGGGTCGTCAACGAACATACAGCGTCGTCTCCGTACTTTTCAGGCAGACTTAGGTAGCAATCTTTTTGTCCACATAGTCGATGATCTTTACCACTTGCCTCATATTTAACAACTTACAAGAATTACAATTAATAATGAAATGACAAAACGGGGAGCGAATGTAATACTGATCTGATGAATACGGGTCTTGAAACTTGGAGAGTTTTGCAAATGTAAAGATACGAACACTTGGAGCTTGGTAGCCGATTGCTCGAGGTGTGTCTTTATCTAAATAAAAAAAGCTCATGATATATTTGACAGTTAGTAATAAGGTTTCGGATGTAAATTATCGGGTAGGAGAGAGAGAGAGAGAGAGAGAGAGAGAATTGTATGGCGAAATTGGAGAAGATAACCGTGGGTTCTCGAAGAAATTTGGTCTGATGAATGATCACAATTAGCAACAACAACATTGTGGAATTATCTTAAAATAGAATGACTTTTTGTAAAAAGGAAGTCTGTTCTTGAGAGGGATTCGGTGCCTGCAGAGGCCGACTAATAAATCGGACCATTCTTAAAAGCCTCCTGCAATACTACGACAGCAGTGACGGAGGGTAAGAGCGGCCCTGAATCACATCCGAGATGTGTCCGACACGCTGTTGTCCTGATACATTGTCACAACAACTATGTGGTGAGGGCAATGGAGTCGAGACATGACGACCTAGTAAACACTGTAAATAGCCATGTCAATATGTCAAATAAATAGAGCTGCATCTTGTATAAAAATGTTTATTGAAATAATCTTGAGTTTTTCTTTTTTCAGAAATCAAGGCTTCTGTGGTTGTAGTTGTGACATGATTGTAGCTTCACGGATACTGTACCGTCAGTACTACCACATTTTATACCACATTTTATATGTGATTATTGCGCCGCAGTCCATTCTGTTTATTTTATAATTAGTAACTAATATCATTGCTATTACTATTAATAATTAATTATCCATTTGTGGCAATCACAAGAGATAACTTTAAGGTCCATATTACCGGTGCGGCTAGGCAAATATGGAAGTGGCTTTTTTCATTGCCGCCTGCGCAAACAGCAACATAATAAAAATAAATAAATAACTATCCATCGTCATCGTCGTCGTTGTCGTCGATCAAACAAGAAAGTATCAAAAAATAGTCATCAGCAACTCCATGCAATTTCTCTCACATTACACCCGCCCTCCTTTGCCCCACTTCTGTATTAAACCTATCTATTCGTTGATATTTTGGGTAGAACAAACTACACAGCCCCTCAAGCTTGCCCTTTAAACACTACAAGTTCCGCAGCAATACTAAGGATTAGAAGAAATTAACGTCGATAATTATAATAATCACGATAATGGTAAAATAAATTTAATTCTACTCTATCAACGATATATATAATAAATACAGAAAACAAATTGGTAACCCATACATTATGACATTACAACGAACCTAACACATTCACTCTTACCATTTCTATTTTCTCCTACAAGAGTTATTAAAACAAAATCTCCTAGCCCGTGTTATTATATTATAGAATAGATATATTAAAAATATATTGCGCCTAAAGTGTTTTTGTAGCTATTTGCTTTATGGATTCTATCAGATCATTATGTAAATTCACTCTATTTTCTTCCACGTTGACTTTTCTGCAATTTATCCATCCTTCTATGTTTAGTTGCGTTTTGCTCCTTCTCTTCGTATGTTCCCTAGACCACAGGACCGAATCTCTAGGCGATAACAAATGCGATTATGAAGCAAATCACTCAGCACGTCTGTACAAGTAAAGATAGGCTAGATCCTTAGGGGGCTTTTCTGAGCGCGCGATCTTGTCGTCATTGCATATGACCCATTTTCCATCTTTTAGCAAGTGGCAAACATAATGTCCTGAAGAAGTGTTCGAGCCCATGTGTGTAACAAACGCAACTAGCTTATAGCAACCAGACCCATCTGTAACAGGGTATTCCTTCGAATTGCCTTGTTCAGCGGCGACTTTGTCCGTGGCCATCGCGGCAGTCTCTGGCGCGTTAAGTTCCTTCAGATGCGAAAAGATCCAGTCAATAGCACGTTCCACATTATTCTCTGTGGCCTGAAGAGCTCGGGTAGCGTGCTGCCGGCTGAAGCCCATTCCTAGAAAATTTAAATGCGATGTTGTATACGTATTAGATGTGAGAATAGATCAGGAATAACGCAAGAAGCATAATAATTTGATTGAGCTCGATTGAAGCTTAAGGGTACATATAACAGAGCAAAAGAAACTCTAAAGAACATTGATCTTAAGTGTTCCGCACGTGTGAAGATTAGCTATTTTGAATTAGCTCAGGCTACTCCCTATGGGTAGTATTATAAAACACTGGCTGTTAGCTGAAATATAATGAATTGAACTCGCCGTTGCTCCTAAATATTCACTTCAAATTTCTTTGAGCGAAAGCTCAGCTGTAATACAAAACTAAACCTGAGCGTGATTAGTTATGGTGCACCGTTGTTTCCAACTGACTGTTGATTAATTTTTAAAAAACACGTTTAACACATCAAGTTTTTTCAAAGTGAACAACACTTGCCCATAACCATTTCTATGCCTTCTTCACTGGGTTGCGGTCCTTCAACTTTACTGGCGATACCAGGCACCACAAATGGTGCCGCGAAATCCTCATCGCCCATATGTTCCATCACCCACTGCGTGGCAGCTTCAATACCAGAATTCTTTGTATGGTAGACCGCTTTCCGGCAGCCTTCGATTGGGAAGCCCATATCTACCAGCTGAGCAACGATGGCCGCATCTATTGAAGGTTTTTCCGTTTGGTCGACAGGCATCGCTTCTTCACCAGGCTGGAGTCCTCCCTTGGCGCGAAGCGTTGTCAAATCTAAGTGATCCGGAATCTGAAGGGATACGTCAAGCTTTTTCGGTGACCAGTTCTCTGTGAACGTGAATTTCTTTACTTGAACTAACAAGAAATCAGGAAAGGTTAGAAAGCGTACCGTCTGCTTAACAGTGACTTTCTCATTAGCGGCTGGGCTAAAATAGTCGTCGATGTAACTAGGAACAGACATCGCAGCTATGCATGCCTCAAACGGGATCTTGGCTAAAACCATCTCTTTTGGGTCAAGACGTTCCTTTTTTTCTTCGGCTTGCTTCTTCTTTGCTTCGTAGGCTTCCACCTCGGCTTTGTTCGTTGCCGCCTCCATCGGGATGACTAACCGTAGAACACATTCACGTCGCTTTTTGTAAACCACTCTCTTTGTCTTGCCACATTCAATGCGATCCTCGACGTTGAAAGAAAACACATTGCTGATGGGGTTATCCTTGTCATTTTTATCCAACAGGTCCATAAGGTAACAGAAGTATTCCTCCGCGTCCTGTTGCCGTTTCGAACTGAATTCAGGATGGTTTTTCCCTACGACGTTTTTAAACGACTGGGGTTTGATTGCCGACGTATCGATCTCGCTGGCCGGCTTGCTCGAATACGCGCCGGATAGAATGCCGTGAGAAAGCTTGGCCATCTGCACACGAAGATCGGTATTCGGGTCGTCAGGGCAATTTGCAATGATAGTCTTATACTCGTTGTAATACCGCTTGACAAACGAGGGAATTGTGAACAGCATCTGAACAATCGAGTTCATATAGCATGAGTTACCAAGGTTAATTAGACCGGTATAGCCAGGACCGTAAAGTGGTTCGAGTTTGCAGCCCTCCTCGGTTGCGGCAGCCCATTCGCCTATACGCTGATTAATGTCGAGCTCCAATTCGGCCATCGACTTCTCTGTTTTTCGCATTGCGGCCACGTCAATACCAAAATGGCCGAGATGTTTTTCTAGCTGACTGTCAATAACCATATCATCCTCATCGTACGAATACACGTCAGCGCCTTTATGGTTGATTGTACCAAGCTTTACCGCTAATGGGTATTTGGTTTCGTTGTAATGTTGAATCGCATGATCGTTTCCTCCGGAGCCATCGAAAAATTTACGACCACAGTTTATTGCGCCGTCGGTCAAATTTAACCAAAGGTTCTCCCGAAGGTCGCATCTCGAGCATTTCCAACCGCTAGCCGGAATTGTAACACCGTTTGTCAATTGCTGCAAAGTCTCAGAGTGTTTACTGACCTGTTGACAAAAGGCAGAATCAGAAATAAGTTTTCCATATCTCAAACCTAGAGCTGAAAAACGGCCATTACTTCTATACTATCGCCAATATGATAAAAGTAAATACATGTAGATGTTAACTTGATTAATTTGTACTTCTTCAAGCTATCTTGAAGGCTACAGTGTTACTAAAAATACTTCTAATATTAAAAGTCAATCTCTTTAGCTTGTTCTTGAAAGTAACGCTTCACCTGTCGAAGTTCACCGTCCCAAGTTCCTGTTGTAGCATTTAGCTCTTCCGCTTTGAAAACGCTTTCAGCCTTATTTACACCCTCAGCACTCCTCTTTATATTTTCAGGTAATTTTGGGTCGTCTATATTAAAGACGGCACATTCTGGCAGGACAACAATTTGCACATGTTCTTCGTATTGGAACTTCTTCGCATCTTGGAAGCCCCCTGCGAGACCGATAGCTAGTCGCGTAGGTGAGGGACACGTCTTCGCTTCAGTTTTAAACTTCAGTCTCTTGATGTGCAGGAACACCTGTTGGAAAAATGATTGAAATATGCTTTATTACCTTTTGCCAGCAGTGTGTGAATCATTTTTGAGGCTCTAGAGTATTACGCTATATGACATATTCCATACGACTACAGTTGACTATGTAGGCATTATTTC